CTTTCCCATTACCCTCACCCTCACAACATGCTTCAAGTATTTCTTGAAGAGAAATACTTACCCCCCTTTTCTTATTTGATAGCTGTCCTACCATCTTTCCCATTCTACCACCACTCTGTTGTCCTGTTATCAAACAGATGGCTTACCTTCCCCATGTTTGTCAGTGAACTGGAAGGCCTGAACTAGTCTCAAAGTCTCATCAACAGAGCGGCCAACAGGGAGGTCATTTACAGTGATCTGCCGAAGAATACCCTTATCATCAATGATAAAGAGGCCCCTGGAAAAAGAGATGAAAGGAAAAGCAATGTGCTTTTGTTAAAATACAGAAGCTTTAAATCTTAAGAAAACAGACTGGTCTCCACACTTGTACTGGCCTGGCCCTTAGTGAGGAGGCCCCTGCATAAAGGAATGAAATAACGAAGGAGTCTACAGATTAGGGCTCTAGACTTCTCCAAATAAAAGGCTTTCAGCCAACTGGATACTTGTCCTGATGACATACCTGAATGAGATGCCTTCATCAGCCTTTAAGACCCCATAATCCTGAGCAATGGTGCGCTTTGGGTCTGATATCAAAGGAATGTTCATGGGTCCCAATCCTCCTTGTTTCTTAGGTGTGTTGATCCTATGGCAAAAGGCAAACATACAGTTACATTCATTCAAACTCGTGCCTTAACTGTACCTATTCCTCTTTCCCCTTTCCCATATTCCTAATCCAACTTTCCCAAAAAGCTTTTCTGTTTTTTCCTTTTCCAGCAATAAAGTGAATGCTGAGAACAGTTAAGGTAGGTCACTAAGGTACACTCAACTGCAACTAAAGCGGCTTCTCCTCTATTGCCAGGTCACAGGAGCAATAAGAGAAAGTCCGACTTTGTACTCCTTCCATGAGAAGCCAATACTTGAAAGTCTACTGCCAAAGAATCCCAGTTGCTGTTTAAAAAGTTCATATGACAGCCGGGCGCAGTGGCTCATGCCTGTAATCCCAGCACTTTGGGAAGCTGAGGTGGGCAGATCATGAGGTCAAGAGATCGAGACCATCCTGGCCAACATGGTGAAACCTCGTCTCTACTAAAAATACAAAAAAATTAGCTGGGCGTGGTGGCGCACGACTGTAGTCCCAGCTACTCAGAAAGCTGAGGCAGGAGAATCGCTTGAACCCGGGAGGCGGAGGTTGCAGTGAGCTGAGGTCGCACCACTGCACTCCAGCCTGGCGCCTAGTGATGGAGTGAGACTCTGTCTCAAAAAAAAAAGTAATAAAATAAAAATAAATAAAATAAAATAATAAATAAATAAATAAATAAAAAGTTCATATGCCAAATGGACCAAGAGATTTACCATGCCAGGTGACAGAAGTGAGAATCCACAGAAGCACCAATCACCTGGCAGTTGAGTTTCTTAAATTCTTCTGCCCTATCACTGAAAGCAATGATCTCCGTGGGGCACACAAAGGTGAAGTCAAGAGGGTAAAAGAAGAACACAACATATTTTCCTGGGGGAAAAATAGGAGTCATAGGTTAGCATTTGAAACAGACTTCCTTGCTTTATATTTTTTCCTTATAACCACTAAATGCCAAGATGCTCAATATGGATGTCCTCCTAGTAGCTACTTTTAGAACCTACTGCAGTAGGAAGACCTGAATGAAAAAAAGTTCCTTCCAATCCAGTGATTTATTTGCCTGCCTCCATGTTCTTAGCTGCCAACTACAAAATAAACACCGTTCAGTCTAATTTTGATCTTTTCTGAGTGGTTAAAATAAGCATAAACACCAAGTTCTCCAAAGAAGACAGCAAAAGCAAGGACAAAATTATCTACTGCATGGCCTACTACCAATGCTTAACAAACAGTGCCCAGAAAAAAGCTGAATTGCAGAGTTCCTCTCCTGTAGAGATAAAAGACCAATAAGAAGTCGGAGCCTTTGCACTTCTCTCATGATGAACTATAGTAACGGAACAAGTATGGTTTAATCATATGTGTGTACCTACTCTGCCTGACAAGACAAGAAAAATTTAAAGCTAGGCACAGTGGTGTGTGCCTATAGTCCCAGCTACTTGGGAGGCTGAGGTGGGAGGATCCCTTGAGCCAGGAGTTTGAGGCCAGTCTGGGCAACATAACAAGACTGTCTCAAAACAAAAATACACACACATACACACACACACACACACACACACACACACACACACACACACAGAAAAGACGAAGGTATTAGTGAGTAACAGAACCTCTAGCTGCAATTTTAATGAAGTCACTCGGATTAACCATTGAAATAGCTCTTCAAACTGGCCAGGCAGCCTTCTAGCCACACCCAACAGGCCTAAATATTTAAACAATTCCAAATATTCACTCATTTCCAGGGAGCAGCAATGTTTGAAAGTCAGACAGGCTGGGTGTTGTGGCTCAGTCTGGCATGGTGGCTCATGCCTGTAATCCTAGCACTTTGGGAGGCTAAGTCAGGTGGATCACCTGAGGTCAGGAGTTCAAGACCAGCCTCACCAACACGGTGAAACTAGTCTCTACTAAAAATACAAAAATTAGCTGGACATGGTGGCAGGCACCTGTAATCCCATAAATCCCAGCTACTCGGAAGACTGAGGCAGAAGAATCACTTGAACCAGGGAGCCAGAGGTTGCAATGAGCCAAGATCATGCCACTGCACTCTAGCCTGGGTGACAAAGCAAGACTCAATCTCTCAAA